TACTGTGAGAGTAGGCCAGACGAGCATTCTCTACCATGAGACATGATATAGCTTGCTGACTTATTGTGGTAAGTCAGCTAGCGTTTTGATGATCTGTTTGGTCTATTCTTACTATTAGGAATAATGCCTGTAATAATCGATTAGCATGACACCCTATCAAGATATCTATGTAATTGAAAAGTAGCTGAAAACGTTAAGAGAACGTACGTTTTCAGTAAATGTGACAGGTATAAGAGTCGTCACCTATGATCAGTGTGTAGAAACCCTACGGTCTTCTAGTGATTTAAGCAGTAGGTTTTTGTCTTGAAACAGCTTTTTGTTTATAAGTGAGTTGATTGAACCTGGCATCGAAGAAACCTAGGAGTAGATAAAAACGCATGCAGCTTTGAGAGAAAGTCTCGTTCGCTCGTCACAAAGCGCGGAGGCTGACGAAATGGGGACGCGCTTGGGACTGGAGAACTGAGTATGTTGCGTGTCGCTGTGGATCCCGTTACATCACGGACTGAGTGGCTCACCGCTGTCCAATCGGTGATCATTATAGCAAGCCGAAGATTTTTAGACAAGAGTTCGCTTCGTTTTGGTTTCATCTCCATGTCAATGCTGCCGAAGTATTTGCTTCCTTTGACTCGATCGGAAATGACGAAGGTTTTGCCATAGGAAAGGACGAGAGCCCGAATATTAAGGGAACAAGGTTCAGTGACGGAGCTCGTGAGCAAGCGCGATTTCAATTTTCAATTTCAACGAGGTCGCAAATCCGTCTACTGAAACGGGGAGCTCTAGTGTCTGTTCGTCAAGTCTCCCACGAAGAGACCATAGGAAGACGCAAAGTTGTGACGCTGTGGGTTGGTTGTTTAGAACAGAACGACCGAGGGACTAGCATAGATAACGCATTGGAACGAGGGGCAAAGGAAACAGCGCGGCTATATCATGCTCTTATACTGTACATGAGTAGTCTAGTTTTTTATAGAAAGACGCTGATGGCAGAAAAGTAGATGCGCTTAGGGTACACATTGTACCTCGTCTCTTTCTTTAGCCCTACTTGTCTAGAATATTATGGATTTTTGCGTATATTAAAATCAAAGTAGCTGCGAACAGGAAGTGTTTGAGAGAAGAAAATTTTCTTGAGAAGCTTTAAGACAAATATATTGTTCGCTCAAAAAGGTCGGCTTAGTGTATTCTTGGGTCCTATTTAGTGTATTTTTCGGTCCTATGCGATTTCATTACAAGCATACTTTGTAAGCCGATTCGTGTTCTATGAAAATACAAAAAAAAATGCAAGAATGCAAATTATATGGTTTCAACGATCTCCGTAAAAGTTTTAGCCTATTATTACTATTGATCAATTGTTTGAAATAGCGTGAAATTATTTTCAAGGTTACTGGTGTTAGCGGGAATTGCGCAGATTGTCTAGCAAAGGTTTCAACTACTTATAGTTTGCTTTTAGATGTTTTAGCACAAATCCCAGGTTGTGTATTGCCATACAATCAATTTACTGATTCTACTCTCGATACAGCCTGGTCTGATCCAACGATTTAATAATGAATGGCGGCATCTGGTCCTATCTTCCCGAAGCTGCCTTGTCGATCATGCCAAGTGGAATCGTGCCTTCGACATCCGCCGGCCGTGGGCCTCGATCTGCACGGAGGTTCTGCTTTCGCTTCTACTGTATAATTTCACAATTGGGACAACATTGTGCCATCGACTCGAAGTTTCGTTCGAAATTACACTTGAACACCGCATATTTCTAAAAACGCAATAGGTTTGCCAATATTAGCACTTTGATCGCTGGAAGTAGGGTAACGACACCCAACTGCTGACAGTAGCTTTTTGAAGGACGATTCAATCAAAGGATAGACTCGATACTTTTGCTCTAAATCTGGAGCTATTGTGCGAAATTGACTTGATATAACCGCTCTTAATAAAGTATTATTGTACAGAGATATATTCCTATATTTTATCTATATAGGAATTCTAGTTAAGGATGGAGCTTTGTGTAACTATTATTATGAAAAATTTTGCTCATTTGTTGTCCTGAAATTGATGAAATCGCTTGACGTCAAAGCTAGAGTTCGTGCTTTTAATAAGTTAGGATATAGAGTTAAATATGGTAATAGACACATCTTTTTTCTCATTCAGTTCTCCTCAAACTAGCCCTTGTAATCGCCGTTGGTCCTGGTCGCGTCCTGCATAGTGTTTTCTCAAATACTACATATAATTCTATTATATATATAATGCGTTGTGTTCTCGTCAAAATGAAAAACCGAAATTGTGCATTATGTTCATTTATGTGCATTTGTAATGCAAAACAATTAAGACGATGTCAAATAATATTTTCAACCCTGTGAATACCAAATTCAAATCTGAGCCGAATAAACGACAAGGGTTACATGTGTAGGCGCATTTACAGGAAGGGGAAGAAATTAAGCCGCATATCAGCCTCTTCACGGATCGATTTTAGCCGCGCACTTACAGACGTCCCCAACGCCAATGGTTTTGCCCGTCCAACGTCCATTGGTATCTTAACAGCTAACGACGACGACGACGGAGGTGATTGTGGTGGTCATCGTTAATCTCTTTCTTTTTGGCTGAAGACGGATGGCCGACATCCGGCTTTTTTTCATGCACTATATCGCTTCACTCATTCAGGGCGGTGCCGCTGGTCCATTGAAGGACTAACAGGCAAAGCGACAGCGTTAGTCAGGAACTGTAGGCTGTTGCAGACCTTGCCCATATCTTAATGGGATAATCCACAATGAAGACTTTCGTCGAGGTACCGTACAACCATGGCGGACCTATCCTGTCCTGGCGAATGCGTTCACCAGCTGCCACATCACAACGCTGCCGTGACGAAAGACAGACAGATCAGGGCTTCGTCCTGACGTCTCCTTACATTATTGAGACTTCGTCGCCTGCACACGCCTGCATACACAGGTACACACACGCTAGACTAAACCACTGGTCCCCTTTCGACTGCCGCTGCTGTCGCTGGCGTAGACTGCCTTCGTTGACCATATGCCGCCAGCCGTATCCTGTGCCTCTCCTGCATACCAATACACCTTCGAAAACGAGGACGAAAAAAAAGACGCCTATCTCTTATCGTCATCACGAGGCGGAGTATAGCATACACCTAAGGAGTCCATGAACGTGCTGTTATACAGAACCGTTGAGGAGATTTCCTTCATCTGATGCTCCCAGAGCTTCTGTTGTTCCGGTGTTCTACTGCTTTGCGTTGATGTCCATAATCGGCGTTGTGGCAAAAGCGACAATCGCCGAAGCTTTATAGATGAGTTCGAGATGCAAATTCTGTGTTGTCTACAGCGACCTTTTTGTAAAGAAGTGGCTTCTTCTGTACTTGCTCCGCTCCTCTCTGGTTCTTTTTCCCGCGTCGTCGTTCTCTACTGTCGTTACGGCCATTTCGGTGAAACTTACCAGATCGTGTTCGATATCCTACTGTATCTGTAGCTATATATCTCGCTCGCTTGCTTGCCTTATCGTTCTCTTTCACATTTTTTTTTACTCTCTCATCCCGGATTCTAGTGAAGGAGGATTTGATATTTCCCGTAAGGCATTCACCTTTTCAAGTTGGTTGGGCGCTTATCAAATTTATCTCCTCGTCAAACCGTCTCCAGTCCCTAAGGCAGCTCGAAAAGGCCGTTAGTCCGCTAAAACGATACGCGCGAACTGCTGTCGCGGCTGAGCTCAGGTTTCGTTTGAGCTGCTTCCCTCTTCTGCTTTCCTTCCTCACTCCGTTTCCATTCTTTAAAGCAAGCAATGGCTGAGTCGATGACGAGACATGGAGGGCTACTGTCGACACGTTTTTTTTGCCTGCGCCGCCGCCAGGCTACTGAGTCGAGTTCGAATCCTCGTCATTCTCTTTCATTGAGTCTTTTTCGCCACATCTTTTCGTTTTGAAATCAAATTTTCCTTATTCGTGCGGCTTTTCGAATCTGCGAAAGTCTGCCATTGCTGGTTCATATGTTTTCCGTGAACGAACGCTTCGTTCTTTCTGAATCTACGCGATCGCTTGCTTTTTCAGGACCTCCGTACAAAGCTGGTGTGTATGTATGTCTGACGTTTGTGCGGAAGATGGCAAACTCACAAGATGAGGTGGTTGTGGTCCTGGGGGAATCCTAGTGCCGGACGCTCCGAACAGAAAGATATTGTCGAGAGCGAGTATACTCACGTATACGTCGAAGTGGTGATGTGTCTGTATATGTGTGTACGCGGGGTGGGTAAGTGGGGAGCTCATGTGCGGGGGAGGAGGTTGTTAAGGTGGTATTCAGGCTATAGGGCGAACTGCCGACAGGGCTAGGCGATGGTTGTTGGACTTAGCGTCTCTGTGTCAAGCTAGCAAAAGCCTCGCCTTAGCGGCCACAAGAATCTCGCACGGTTGGGCGTAACAGACGGTAGCGGAAACGAACAAAGAAAAGCAAAGTACGTAAGATGCTGTGGCACCATGGGCCAACGTGCAAGGTGCAGGTCGCTAAATCCAACGAACCTTTGGAAAGCCACGCACGGTTGCGTCACGAGGGCTAACAATGTGCCCTAGGATCCGGAAAGTGTACAGGGAGAACTGGATAGAGAACCGGTGCCAGTATCATCATTATATGGCGGCCTGGTTACTGGGCCAAACACTTGAGCGTATACAGTTTTATCGTCGAAATAATTCTATAATACAGCGTAAACAGGAACCAAATAAAATGTGATAATATTTTGTTGTATATATAGGTACTTTTATGTTTCTGTTTCATTTAACTCGCATTTGAAATATACAATTGATTAGTTTGTTTTATAGGAAGAGATGAACACAAGCCTAATTGTATATATATATATATATATATATATATTGCCTTGTTGGATAAGCCCAACTCGTGAAACCTAGGTAAATAAGTTATCTCTGTTATCTGTCACCTGCGTATCCATAATCGTATAAAGCAGTGCAGACTTTATACAGTGCCTAACACGCACCACAAGACGATGTCTTTGTTTTCGTGTTTTAGGGAAGACTGCATTGCCGTTCGTGAGTCATTTTGCTACAATGAGTGGGCCATGGTAGAGGATAACAAACAGCGTGGCATCTACGTCAGTCCACGAGGACACTTTCGCCTACCACACTGCGAAAATCTTCCATCAGTGCATGAAAAATCGTGGGCTTGCTCGCACGCGCACATCACAGACTTCCGTCATGAAGAAGTCACAAGTGAGTACCCCAAGTCAACTGTAATAGAGCGAGCAAGTTTTTCAAATCATGAGAGATTTGTAATTCAAATAATTTAACACAGTATATATATATATATATATATATACTGTGTTAAATATATACTGTGTGCGTTTTTATTCAATAGACGAAGTAGTTTTGAACTGGATAGTTGTCCTTCAAATGTGGCATTAGTGGTGCCTATAAGTTGTATTCATTGTTAGGTATCGCGATGTCTACGGTCTTGCCATAAGAAGCATTTGCTAAAATAGACAGGAGGATATTTTGTTTTTCGCGCTTCGCAATGATGAGGTCATTTATCACGGCTTATGCGCCTGTATTTTTTAACTTTATTGTGACAGCAAAGATGTAAGCTTATCCAATCTATCTTTATATTCGCGGTAGGCCTCACGACATCATCATTGGTTCGTCACTCAATTCATCTACATTAAGTTCTACTTCTATCCACTTGAGGCACTTTCCTTGATGTTCCTTTACCACTGAATATGACCAACGAGCAGACCGAAGTTCAGGACGGCCGCCCGTGTACAAAGTCAAGTACTCCTTCAGGTTCTGAGACGGATCACCTTCACTCCTTCAGCCTGGTCCTTCCGGTTGTCAAAGCTACTCTTACCTACCTACCTTACTAGGTAAAGCCCGTTATCCACTCATCGCCTCACGATCACTTGAGTCCGTTGCCACCATCAGGAATTCCTTCGTCCGTTTGGTACAACCACCGTGGGAGGAATTGGTCCTGAGAGGATAGCGAAGTGAAATCTCCTCGTAACAGATTTTTTTTGCTCACAAAATATCTTTGGTCTTCAGCTAGCCAGTCGTGGCCATCTTGGAGATTCTCCAATTCTCTCAGCGACCGCTACATGACTCGCACTTCAACATCTATTGCTACTCCCTGTTTGCCCATCCACTGTCGTCGCGGAATCCGTGGATGATAAAGGGGCACCTGGTTGGTTTGTAAGCAAAGACAGAGTGTATAACAAATACAGAGAAGATTGGGAAAAATATCCCCAGGTCACGCTACGATTTAGAAGGCGGGAAGCGGTAGGACTTATCGTGCTTTTGTGGGATTCCCTTCGAGCTACTAAAACTAGACAAACGTGGTGAGCCTACAGGCGATTGGCAGCGGCGTGCCAATGTGTCGCTTCCTGGCAAATATTTCGTATGACAGCCCTCCCACCGCTAACGCCACCACTAGCTCCCCCCACAGCTGTAGCTACTCGGTTTGAGTCTGCTTTCATTACGATCGGTAGACGGCGAATATACTTACTCTAGCGATCGTCCTAGCATCACCTTCTCGTGGATGGACTTCAGCAGCTGCAATGAAGTGTATCCTGCTTAAAGGATTATAAAGAGCGACCCTATTTCTCCTTTTCCCCTGCCACGAGCAGAAGGAGTGTTCATGACATAAAAACTCCTAACTCGAATCATCGAGAATTACTCTCGAGGTACACTGACACGGAACTTCTATTGGATATTAAGCCATAACTTGGTAGACTTATCCTGAACAACAAAGGTATAATGAAAATGAATTTTTTGTAGCTATGCAGGAGAGAAAAGTAGATAATATTTGCGTTGCTAAGTTTAAGTTTGGATTTAAACCCCGAAATATATAGGAATATATTCTCTAGTTCATGAAAAGTAGAAATATCCTTTCTTTGCATTCTTAATCATAAAACGCAATTGAGATAAAAATTATTCCATTACATAATACTGTTTCACATTTGGTCGTTGAACGATGAAAACCAAGTGCGGGCATGTGAAGGAATCTACATTAGATTTGCAAATTTTTCTATTTACCCAAAAACAGGGCATAGGAAAGCGCTGTATCATTAACGGGCGGATTCATAGTGTAGTCCCCTTTTGAGACTTTTTCTTGATGCTTTTCAGCTCCAAATTAGAAGGAGTCTTTATCTCAGACATGTCCACCCCCCTTTTTTCTCCTTATTTCTACGACCTTTTCTTCATCTTCATGCACGATACGTTTTAATGGCCTCGAATCTTAAACTCATTATCGCATTTATTCACTTTCTTCTTTTAAGATGCCTTTTAGGGCTAGTGGCCAGATAATTTGGCCTATGTCGTTCCAACCTTTTTGAAAAGCGTCCCCTAAGTTTTTAGACGAGCGTTCTTCTCTTGTTAGCTTTGTCCTAAAAAGGTGCTGTTGTTAGTAATGGCACGTCCTAGCTGACTCTCAAAGAACTATTTTTTGGAGGACAAAAGGCGGATTAACTGTACCTAGAGAAATAATTCTTATTCTCAGTAGTTAAGTGATTAACAGTCAATGTCCTCCGTTATTTCTACTAATGTAACTGTCGCAAGATTCAAGTTCAACTTGACAATATGAAAAGCATGAACGATAACGACAATAGGTATACCAAATTAGCCATCACCGCAAGGAGAGGGAATGCAACTAAATATGAAAGTACGATTAATATTGCCAATTAAATTTAAGTTATATAATTATATGCATTTTCTTGTGTTTTGCAATTCGTGTGTTGTTCCTGCGACAGCTACGTGTGTTCGTGGCCGAGGTCGTTTCTATCAGGGCCGGGTGAACACTACGAAGTCAGGTATACCCTGTCAGCCTTGGGACGCCCAGGAGCCACATTCTCATAATCGGCCACCAAACGTATTTCCTGAAATCCATGATGCGGACAACTACTGTCGAAATGCTGGAGGCGAAGAACCTTCACCTTGGTGCTATACAACCGACCCGCGCCGTCGATGGGAACACTGTGACATCCCCCAATGCGGTAAGCAAAATCTGCTGGCGTCATCAGTCTGTGGCTTACAGCCTTTTCCTTCAAAGAATATTTCTATAAATGGACAAGCTGATGGACCATGCTTGAACCACTATTTACGCAGTATACGACCCTCTGTCGTTAGCCTTCACGTGCTATTCCTAACATCTTCATACCAGGCTTTTTCACTTACTTTGCTGGAAGCCGAGTGAGCAGTCCTTCGTATCAACATTCAACTTTGATGCAGTACAAAGATGCAACTGCAATTCAATATCCGGACTTGACTTTGTTTACTGCAGGTCGATCGTTGGTTTATCATTACAGTTTTAACATGATTAATAATAGTAGTAGTAGTGGCAGTAGTAGTAATAGTAGTAGAAACTACTCTATGCAATATCTATAAAGGGATATTTACTTCGCATGAAAACGGTAAATAATTATATTTTTTTTTGCAACGTATCTGATATTTCAAGCCTACGTCACCTGACAGTTAACATAAACGAACAAATGATATACTATATTTTGAAGAAAGAATATTGAATATAATTTAAGACCAGGGACTTTTATATATTTCACCTTGGATTTAATAACAGAACCGGTTACGTCATATGTATAGTTAATCCAGTTAGCTTTTTACAATCTATATCTATTATGAAATCACAAGCACGACCATATCGCAAGCTCATCAAGCGATGACATGAATAAGTTCTAATGAAGCGGCTCCCAATGAAAGCATTATCCTATTTTCTTTTACTCCTCCTATCGACTCCAGTCCGACTTTTTTCCACGACTGCCGCGCCAGTAACTCACCCCTTTCGAACTTATCATGCTGACGACATTTTCAATACTTCGAAGAACAATGTTTGCTGTTGTGCCAACGGTAGATGACTTCGTAACATGGATAGTACCCAGACAGCACTCCGTCAGGATTTTTCCAGTTTATCAACCTACAACGCAATCAAAATTTGCCGCCGTTTCTTTCTTTCCCTCTCGTTCTCTTAATGCCCCGCAAAGTCTCATGTATTTAGACACGATGACGTGCCTCAGCGAAGCATAGCCTACGAAGCTTTCACCACTCGATTCCGCAGGACCGGTGTAAAGTTGGGTGGTGAAAAAGTGATAGTGGATTTCAGTGTAGGCTCACCGCACCGCTCATGGGCATCGGACTTTTTTTAATTTCCATGCAGTCCACTTACACTCCCATCTCGCTGGAAGCTTTACATCAACCAAAAAGTGGTCTCATTTACCTATTTTTCTCCGAGGAGTCTGAGTTTGCTTTTTCCATTCCCCCGATGGTACTCAGTACCCAACAGGAAGCCTGCTGCTGTCGTCGCCGCTTTCTCTGGCCAGCCAACCCGACGGCAGGAGTTAAGGGAATCTTCAGGGGCGTTGCTGGGAGGTTCTCGCGAGGGTGGTTATGCTTGGTGGATCCGCCCGTTGCATGTCACCCGTCCCTTTCTCGTGCGGTCGTTGCTGGTGGCATGTCGTTGGTCTGGGGGGCCCGCCACCCCGTGGTCGCCGTTTCCCCAGAGAACTCCACCAGGAAGAACGGCGATTGCATCGCCATCACCTTCCCTTTTTCCCCTTCCCATGCATATCCACCAGGCAAGACGACCCTAGACGAGGAGCACTTTGGAATAGAGGACTGCAATGTGGAGTTTAACGTCATCACGATGGCGATGCCGGCCATCACAAGCATAGATCGGAGGCTGAGTTAGCAGCAGGACCCGGCAAGGTTGATGGGCGGCAGATTAGTCACCCGCTTAAAATGAACATGTCATTTGGCGTTCATTTTGACATCAACCAGCGCATAGACACACAAGCACATGCGCAGGGGGTACTCAAATGCAAAGAACAAAATATGTCAAAGAAAAGCGTAACAGATAATAATTTTACTAACTGGCCTCAAGAAAGCATTGTGTTTTGTGTCCGTACCGTCGGAAAAGTAAGATTATGACAGACATGGATAGACTGCCGTATTTGTTAGTCCTTAAGATGTTTCGTGGTTGCTTACGCGCCACTTACATTTTAGACGACCCAAGCTTTAGTTCGTGGCTCAAAGGATCTTTGCAGATACATCGCCCTGGCTTTTGTTATCGCTGGTAGGTACATTTAATAATAATTAGATGAATGTTCGTAGCGGATACACAATTTATCAACGCGGGTTAAATCTGGAAATAAAACAAAATCAAACACATTTATTAGAAGTCACCTAGGTAAGTTATTACTCACTTATGTTACATTCAAAGTGGGGCTCTCGTGAGGGGTTCCCACAGGAAGCAGACCAAGTGAAATTTTAATTTAGTAACTGCAAAAGATATTGAGATGTAACTGTGGCATACTATGCTGGATTGCTCGCAGTATAATGTTACTGAGACCGCCTAATGATCAAGATTCCTTAGATAAAAACATATCAGCAATAAGGTTCAATAGATCTGCTTGCCAAACACAAGACATTTGTTAATATTCTTTATATATTTATTTTCATGAAGTGATATTTACACCAGTGGGATACGATAGATCTGCTAAAATTGCCCGGCTTTCTTTGTTTGTTTTGCTAAATTTATTAAAAGGTTATTTGCAGTAGTCCCGTCTCGTGTTCCGCCAAGGAACACACACTGCAAACATGCAGAAGTAGAAAGAAAAATAACATATACTATAATAATAAGTATCTATTTTATTCAAATCGAAGCTCAGGCCGAATTTCTTCTTTGTACTAGAGAGTACCCGTAATCCTTCTGGCTGTCCAGGTTCATTAGTTGCTGTTTGAAAAAATTCGATGTATTTGATTTGTACAATGTCTTATTCTCCATAAATCAGTCCACGGGTAGAATCTGTGTGTTTCGTCATGCTTGATATATCAATATCTAAGCAAGCTCTTCGCCTAACGCTACTAGCTCCGTTAACGGCTGAAGTACGAGGCGAGGTTAGAAAACATTTAAAACAAACTCAAGTCTGGCTTTTTAGCCTTCTCAAATAGCCTTTACATTTGAAGCGAATTGCCCTCCTTCCAAGACTTTTTCTGCCATAAAGCGACAATTGTTAGGCAGCAAATGTACTAGTTCACTTGTGCATAGTACAAAGAAATCGTCTTCGCTCCTTAAAAAAGCATCCAGAATAAAGTGAATTGAATATAGAATGTACGAGTATTACCGAATTGGGGAAACAAACTAAGAGATTAGAGACGTTCCGAGTACTCAAAAAGGCGCATGCCCACCTTTCTTTTTCTCCAACGTGAGAAAATAGAGAATAGCTTGTTCGACCCCGTTCTGTTGTCTGCCCCCCTTGCTGGTTCCTTGCCTTTTTGTGTTTACCACTTGCCCTATTACCAGCCTGCTACTCTCGCTTCTGATTCAGCTACGGCTTCGTTCCGTACATACTATCAGCAGCAGAAGCACTATTTGTCGATTATGCGGCGGCGGAAGCGGAGAGAATCGTATTGTTCTAAGCCGGTTGACGTGTCTCTCCGACAGCTCGCTTGAACAATTAGAAGCAATCCAAGCGCCCCTTTAACTCTCGATCCTTCGCACCGTCTACGCTACGCCGGCATACGTAACGAACAGAGTCAGCGAGTACGTCCCTAGTGGCCTCTCTGTTCCCCTACATCAACGTCGCTATCGTCATCATTAGCATCAACTGAAGCATCAGTAGCAGTCGTAGCAACGGCGTGTTCATTCACAAGTCTTTGCATAGCATAGAGGCCTCTACCCGACCAGAGGTTTGGTGCAATCCCCCACCACACCCCTGACTCTTTAGCGCTGCGTGTCTATATGTATGCATGTGTAGGGCGGTCGAGATTAACACAGGCCGCTATTGTATCCATGTGAACCGGCCATGTGTTCCAATGGAGCTTTCGAACTAGCGGGGCGCCAGAGTCAGCACTTCGAAGGAACTAGTACAAAGAGAAGCTAGAAAGACTGAGGAAACTCCAAAGGTGGCTCGGTCGATGGTCCGAGAGCGTTGGTGCTCTGTGATCGATATCCGAATCCAATGAAAGGAAACTAAGCGTCCACCGAGCCATGGGGTGAAAGACCTCTTGTACTACAGTCATATATGCATACACAGAGAGAAACTGGGCACGGTCTCTCTCCCTTTATAGCTTCCAGGATAAGCCGCTCGCATACGATCGCAGTGAGATTTTGTAGTGGTATACTTACTTCACGAAGCTGAAATTTAGAGTTGCGCTCTCTTCTTGATGGTTTCGCTTTCGCTTATTAACATTTCACGGATACCAGTCTTATAGCTACGATGAACGGCCATTCAAGTCATGAAGACAACAAGAAGTTTAGTGAACTAAATCTCACATGCAGATATTATATAAATAGCGTACAAATTTCTGAGTCGCACATTAGTCATATCGAACGAATTTACAAAATCCGATATTTATTCGATCATCACGTAAATGGGCTACTAATTCGAATCACTGGAACAAAACAGCCCCAGTTTCTCAGTCCTCAATACATTTGTCTGTGGGCTACCGCCTCACGATTGTAATATAGCTAAGTTTGTTATTCGATAACCACAAATTGTTCCTTTTACAATATTACAGTGCTGCAATAAACAGCGGCCGTCATTTTTCGTCACGACTTTTAAGTAAATTAGGTACGTTTTAGTGACCGACTTATTGCCACGTACAGTTTGAATCATTAGTGAGCGTTTCTTTCGTTTCGAAGGAAAATAGTCAAGCTGGCAGAAAAAACACGGGCTACTTCGCACCAACCTGCTTCTGGTAAATGTCCAAATATCGTGTTCCGCACCGCTTTTGACTGTACACCCTTGGAAGCGGCATGAATGGCGGGCAAATTGCCGTGTTGTGGGTGAGCTGCAACGAACCAAAAGGGGTACTGTGGTACTAAATGATGATGATCCCAAAGGAACTCCGCCCATTTTGCAGACTGAGGACCAATCACAAACCGACTTCTATGTACTTGGCATATAAGCCGCAAAAACACCGAGGTCACATCCGCTAAAGCCCACTAGCGGCAATGAGCTTTTCTTCAATCCAGCCTTTACTCTTATTTCTAAGGGCAGCGTAATAAACTTTCAGCAACGCTTCCATACACACAGCACAACTTTGCATACGTTATGTAACTTAAATAGCTACAGTGGTCTTGATCTTGAAACCATCAAATAGTTAATGATGGCCATTTTGATAATATCATCAATTACCAATTGTACTGAGTTAATGATGTGGTATATAGCATCAAATCATTCCAAGTTTGACTTCACTACACCAAACCAGATCGAGGTTTTCTTGTAGCCGTATTTTCCGTCTTGCCGTACAATACGTATCAACGTTGACTAGCTACAATGGGCATTCTTTAGGGCCATTACCTCTCGTTGTCCGTATGTATATTGTTTAATTAACTTTAGGTAATGTTATTATATTAGGATGTTGTTCTCTGAATTGATAATTTACATTGTCTATCTATATTCGGATGCTGAGCTTAAGCTTAACGGGAACCGTTTCGGTAAAAGTAGCCAGTATATATTTGAAGTATCGGCCTATTTTCAGTTTTCAGTGGACGGTTTAAATTACATGTTAGATGTATGATTATTGATGCAAACGGATTAACGGGTACAACAGAGATATTCCTGCTATTTTCCTTCCTGGTCTCTTGGAGACGTTGGAGACATCGAAGCTGGCGCAACGAATTTATTGACGGTTGTTGTAATCGTTATCGTTGTGCTCTTTTTAACGCCTTCTCTATTCTACGGATAGCAAATGTGTACGTTGCTTCAGTGAGAAGCTTTGACGAAGAGTACTGAATCCCTATAGGAAGTCACAGAAGCATCACCGAAACGAATTTTAGCTTTCATAAGCCTGTAATCACTGAGGAATTACAAGGTCGTGCCAGGGACCCGATACATAAGTCGGTCTTGGAGCTTTTGGCCGTATCGACTTGTGCCTGCACACATCCGAGCTATTCAGTTTTTTATTATGAAGTGATCATTATATATTTGATGTTTTCATCCATTGATTTAGATTACGATTGGTACTGAATCACTTCAGCAACCCGATGATTCAAATATCAAGACCCTATCCTTCTGGCCTGTGTATAGTTCGATAAATGAGCAGTTCTTTATAGAGGACATAGTGTAAAAAGGTCGTCCAGGTATAGATACACCGTTGATAACGTGCGGCATAATACAAGGTTATCTTCTTTCCCGACTGGCGTTCGAGAGATTAGGGAATTGAGACACGCAGTGCCAACTATTGAGGATCGCAACAGCTTACGAGTGTCTAACAGTATCTATCGTCTACGCCAATTATTGCCTATAGCCTCAGGCCATGATGACACGGAATGATGTTGTTCGTTCGTACAATACCCAGTCTTCTATTTATTCGAATACGTAGTATTAGGTTAACACAGCCACCGAAAGCCGCTAGCGGTCTCATTGTGAAGAAGCGGTTCCACTGGGCGATACTGCCTTACCATCTCATTGTGTAGGCGGAATGTCTTTTTCACTGCGGCTTCCCCACAAAGGTCTCCTCCCACAAAAGATCCCCAGACGTACATCCATTGCATACAAATACATATTTACATATTAGTCCGTATATTATGATTACCTTTGTGTAGTATATCTTGCGTGCCAGTTGGGGTGGGACTGGTTCCTTAAATATATGTCGCCAGTCTGCGTATTATGTGAGAATCTTTATTTGTTATTTGCCGCCATTTTATACCCGTGAATGTAATCTCTTTGTTATAGATTAAAAACTGTTTTCCGGGTGGCTGACGGAAGTCACATATTCTCGTCATTTTTCCTTAAACATTTGCATATAGTAGATCGTCACCAGCCTATTCTCCAGTCTACGTGCAGCATGCAAAAGAAGAAAAGGAACTCGGAATATCTTTTATTGCCTGCTAGCACAGGCAAAAGGAGTGAGTCAAGCGCACGTACTATACGGCCTTGTGTGAGCACCGGGTAACGAGGGTCACGCTGGACAAGCTGTCAGCTTCACAGCGGAAAATTTTTATCAAGAGGCGGCTGAAGCTTTTAATTTCTATAAAAGCGACAAACGAGCCTAAGATCATTCGATGATAACACGCCACCTTTAAATATATCTCTAATAGATAACAACAGAAATAGTTAAAAATGTCACACTACTTTAGATTCTTGTCGTATCGTACCATTGTAAGTCTTCCCTATAACATAGTAAAGGTGTATTTGAATTGGATTGGATTGAATAATGTCGTTATAGGCAGATACAGACCGATCGTTCACTGTTTGCCTTATGCAGTATGGCGTCGGCGAAACTATTCTACAAAGTAAAATTACACATATTTACAAGCAAGATGCGTTCAACAGGCGTGCATGTATAGGGGTACATTCTCCAAAGTGGCGCAGCGAAAAATCGGCTACAAAGCTCTGAACGCCATCGGGTGCTACAGTAAAGTGAACGGCATGAATAGTGATTTGGAATCAGTTTGCCCTAAGTAAGGCGTCGGCGAAATTTTTCATCAAGATTTTCGTATGAGGCGCGAAACAAAACGTGTGCAACAATTGCAACAACACCTTGCCACCCTTTTAAATCTGCTTCGTTCAGTCCGAAACAATTTCTTATTACGAAAATCCCTTACGTATACTTTTTACGGGTTTCGTTACTTAAATTTAACAGAAGTGCATGTCTATGTGTGAATAGAATTTTTTTGAAGTATTGCAATCATTCAGATATATACCTTACTGAGACAGGAATGAGCACATATGAATTCTTTTGTGCAATAATTGTGTATATATTCAGAAAATGTGACATCAATCGTATCAACGCCAACTCCATCTCGGGGGGATACGGCTGTTCTGCTTCTCCCGGGAGGACAACCTCTGGAATTGACTCCAGCTTTATTCGCCACGGCTGTCACAGTGGGTTGCGGCGTACTTCTTCTGCTTTTTCTGCTGTGTCTTCTTTGTAAAAAGATCGCTTTCTCGAAATCCCGTCCCGTTGGATCATCCATTCATAATACAACTGTATACGCAGCGCCTAACGGTAAGGATTATCGCTCATCACGGTAGATATTTTGCCCTTGAATGACAGGTGTAAATAGGAAACAAGTCTTTAGGTCTGTCGCCTACCGCTAACCAAATGGGTATATGAAATCAAAACTTATATATTGAATTGCATTTACTATGTTAGTGAAAAAAGAAACGTCAAAACACTGACGAAACTTAGCAAATGGCGCACCGACTGTTCTTTAGCCAGGTCCATGCAGGCGAGGAAGTACATTGATGCTTGATGGATCAAACAATAGATTCTCTGTTGGTAATTTTTATCGCGATTTTTTAGTGACACAAGTGCGTTTACTGTTAAAACTGTGATTGTTGTTGGAGTTGATCATGAGCCTTGGCGTATGCCTTATTTCGGACCTTTGAACTTGCTTATTCCAGGTAATCATACAGGCGTGTGCACGATGGTGGATATCGATCTGACAAAGCTACCTTCGAACCTTACCTATCACCAGACCGAAGCCAAACTTAATCCAAAACTCGAGAAATTAGAGTATCCACGTAACGACATCGTCTATATTCGAGACCTTGGACAGGGTGCTTTTGGCCGTGTCTTCCAAGCTAAGGCACCGAACGTTGTCAAAAATGAAGATGTCACTATAGTGGCTGTCAAAATGTTGAAGGACAATGCATCCGACGATCTTCTACAGGATTTCGAACGGGAAGCATGCCTTATGTCTGAGTTCGAGCATCCGAATATCGTTAAACTGCTCGGCGTTTGCTGTATTGGAAGCCCGATGTGTCTTATATTCGAGTATATGGACCGCGGTGACCTTAAAGAATTCCTTAGGTCGTGTTCACCGTCGAACTATATCGTGCGGTCAGGTTCAACGAACGTGTTCACCGATTCTAGGCTCAATACATTAGACCAGCTAGATCTTGCAGCGCAGATTGCATCCGGCATGGTATACCTGTCCGAGATGAAGTTCGTGCACCGGGATCTCGCCACACGTAACTGTCTTATCTCTGAAGATATGACTGTTAAGATCTCTGACTTCGGCCTTTCGCAAAAAATTTACACTGCCAATTACTACAAAGGTAAGTGAAACACTGCCAGTAAGTATACGTGTGCAGGGTGATTAGGGAATCGTGCATTCGAAGGTTAAGCAATATCTGTCGGCCTCGAGGGGAACATCTCTGTATGTTACTTAAATGCTAATCTAGAGCTAACACGACTACATCGAGAAATTAAACATACAATTCGAATTTTCACAGGGAGTGAGCATGACGCTGTTCCCATTAGATGGATGCCTCTTGAAGCCATTCTGTACAATCGCTTTACCGTCGAAAGTGACATTTGGGCATTCGGTGTCGTCCTTTGGGAGATCTTTTCATTCGGCCTCCAGCCTTACTTCGGTAAAACACACGAAGAGGTCGTCCGGTAAGTACAACAGAGGGCCAAACAAACTAAATTATACCTAGTCGAAAAACATACTCGACAAATAAAAATCTGAGTTGCACGGCAGCTAACGATTACCACGGAATTGGCGCAAATCTATGTGGAGCTCTTGCAAGCACCGTACTACACTAGCGTGCGACACAACGGCGCATGTTTCAATTATTACTAGTATCGCTACTGCTGCTGTTCTATCTTGGGCGAATACTGTGTATCTATTAATCGTGATCCGAACCATGACCACTACTAGGTTGATATCTTACCTTATATTCGCTAGAGTAAACGTGATTCATATATGATACGCTGCTTGAATTGCAGGCATATCAAGGAAGGCAACATCCTGTCGAGTCCAGACAACACTCCAGCGTCAGTGTATGCCCTCATGAAGGCCTGCTGGAGTCCGAAGCCTAATAACCGGCCAAGTTTCAAAGCTTTACTAAATTCGCTCCATACTGTACGGGAGGATTTCATCAAAAAACAAGGACAACCTCATGTCGTGATGTGAAACGTTCAAGTTCAATTTTGATCAAAAGCATTGGTAGATGTTATCCTCTAGACAAAACAGATCCGTCATACGCACACCGATAACACATAGGCAGGCTCATATAGCGACATACCTACAAGACACCATCAAACCCATATAATAGAAAACCATCCTATTACTTAACTATTATATAATAAGGTGGATGCTTTTTGCAGCAAAACGACCTCGTTGAATGGCAGTTACTGACCGCTTAACACGTTGTTCCGTTGTGGCCCAGTTCTGGCTAGCCTCCAAGGCGTTTATTGATCTCCGTAAGATCTAAAATGCAGCACATTGAAAGCTTCTACGTTTCTACCTTTTGTGACCTCTAGCCTTTGGCTAGTAGATGCATCTTGTAATCGAGCGTTATATGTTTGGTCTTGTTTTAAGAGATAAAATTGGATGGCAAGCTAGAAATATACAGTAGCTTTCTGTTTATGTATTTTTGTTACTCAATAGGAGGATCACGATGCGCTATTTAATGTAAATATTGTAAATATATATATATATATATATATATATATATATATATATATATATATATATATGGAGAGAGAGCGAGAGGACGAGAGAGTATGATGCAATTGTAAAACGCTTAGGAGATTCAATCTGATACAGTTATTATGAATAATATTTAATTGCCATAATGATTAATTAGAATTATATCCTTTTCAGCGATGCATGAGTATTGAGGTTTGCTTGGACAAGTTGCGCCAGTGCGAGTGTTGATCAGTATCTGTCCTAGAAGTTGTATGTACATCGTGTACTATCAAATGATGGAACCTTTCACATGTGAAAATGCTAATGACAATAATCGAACTAGATGTAGAAGCGAGAAAAACAAAAGCTATTATGAGGAAAAATAATTTCTACCTCACCAGTATTTAGAACTATCCGCCGTGATAAAAATAGGTCCCTTGCTGTCGTAACGAGACCTACTTAATAGCCAAAGGCAAACGAAATACAACGATGGGAAGAGACCCAAGCTATGAGAGAGAGAGAGAGAGAGAGAGAGAGAGAGAGAGAGGTTCCAGTGCGCGTTCATGAACATCATTACAGGTCACTATGGGACGAATGGTGGCCGTGTGTAAAAACAATGTGTTACCAAGAAGAATATGGGACTGTTGCCAAAATATTTGTGAAATGATTGATGCTATATATATATATATACACAGTCTAGCCCGATCCGCAATCCTCACGGCGTCAGAGGCTGATTGTAATGGTAACAAACAGCCTGTTGAGAATCCTGATTTATCCTGAATCGTACAACATAATACCTATGTACAATTAGAATAATAGATTTAGGAAGGGATTCTACGATAAATGCTAACTAACCCTACGAAGTGAGTATCGAAAGGATGTCATCGAAGAAATCGACAATCCTCACATGTATCAATGGCCAATATATTATGCATCGGAGGAACAACAGAGACGAGAGTCTGATCTATCTATCTATCTATGTTATGTTTGTTCATTTAAGACTAAAACGCACTTAGCGCTAACCGATTTTTTTCAATGATCTCTTTCATTTGAAGAGAGAAAGCATTGTTAGAAACATCCTTTGGCCAGCTGTTATCCAAATCTGGCTTATGCAAATTCATTATTGTATAGCGATAGAGGTAATTGTACAGTACTTTCGTATCGAATAGATACGGAAAAGTTCTTCGGTGCTTATATCCCCTTCCCGTCCTTCCGTCCCACTATATTTAGTGGCGCACATGGAATTATGGACAAAAACAGATATAAATAAACGTAATAAGAACGACGGCGAGCTAAAGTATAAATCAAAATTGGACCCAGCTTAGGAAATGTAACATAAGTTAAAGCTACTGTTGTAAAACTGTGGTACAAGTATAATGGTAAAGCACACTTTCGGCTTTTTGTAGAAACTGCAGTGCTTTAGTGTTTGCTAGAATAAATTTGCTCACAATAAAACGTGAGGGAAAATTCGAACACAGGACAGATAATAACGCAGTTTGAACGTAACGACTCCAAGAGCTGGTTCGAGCGTGAATACATACGTGAGCGTATACAGACAATATTCCTTGAGATCAAACAAGTCCAACTTTCTTTAACTACCGATGGCAAACCAAATCATCTTCTCCATTGATACCTATAGCTTACCTTAACAGTAAAAGTTATCTATCTCTTCATGAGTTTTATACCGTTCAACCGCGTCGATAGCGACAATTATAAATAAATGTGTAATATATTTTTCAAGAAGTGAGATCTGTGTGTGTGTGTGTTATCATTTATCGATTCACATGTTATATCCATTCGCGTCATTGGAACGTGAACGTTCTAAATTGCTCAGTATTCACAAGCAATAATTATTGGAAAGCCGTGCAGAAGCCAACGCTAGCCTAGAGCCCAAGTAAACAGGTGGTTGAAGCGTTCCAAGGACAAATAAAGGAATCACCCTTATCCTAAAAGGCCTGGAACAGCGGGTGCAGACTGAAACGTGGAATGGATGTAGCGATCCGTGCTTGCTAATTACTGAGTTGCCGTAAGGAAACACTACATGGTGTGGTTTAAGATACTCTCAACAAAATTAATCAAATCGAAATTTAATTAAAAAATAAATTCATTTTATTATATGAAGCGCTTTGGGGCCGGTCGAGGGTGTTTCGATAGGAATTATATGATCGAGTTGTTGGCTCTGCTTAATAATGAAACGAATTTATTTCGCATCAATTACGTCTTCTGCAAGCTGTAGTCTTTTATAAGTGTGAATCTTCTCACAAATGAACATCTAAAAACTGTTTGCGCAGTAAATTTAGGTAGGTTTCTAAGTAGGCAATAGGTTTCTTTATCGTAGCATGAGAGCTGTCAATCCTCAACTATATTCATTTTCTTCTGAAAATTATCTGTGCTTGTTACTAACTCTACATAATCGTTTTAGTAGCTTGTGCCATTACTTAGTATCCTCTTAGAAACGCTCATCAGGGGTTTAAAAAGCTATCATGATCTATAGTGTTTTTGTGCAGTCTGCCAGAAGCAACATAGTGATATGTGAGGGTAAATATGAAAGCGTCATCATTGTTCCTGCCTTTCCCAATTAGATAATTCAATACATTGGGTTTTCAGTAGGCCCCTCTTCAAGACTTTGACCTAGACTGCCTATGTTGCGCTATGAAATCTGTGCGCGTGTGTTTAGTCAAATGACGTAAAAATGTGTGTCGCCTAATTGAGATTGAGCTGAATATTGTCTGGTACGTTTGTATAATCTGATTCATCTGCTATCTGGCCATATGGCATCTGCCATAGGTCGCAAGAGTCAGCTCGAGTGTATGCTCCTTAAAGGCAATGCAACCAAGATCGGTAAAACATATCAGGAATGCTGATTCCCATAGTCTTACTTGCGACATGGTAAACACGATAATATAATATAATATAAATACTATAATAACGGCAACATGTTAACGCTCAGATTAACGTAGACAGATACTAGATATTATCATAATGATTAGCAAACAATAAGTACACACTGAACAAAAATTGTCACCACAAAAAAAATAACTGCCGAAACCCGGGATCGAACCAGGGACCTTTAGATCTTCAGTCTAACGCTCTCCCAACTGAGCTATTTCGGCTTGCTAAAAGAATAAGCCCTCCTTTAATTCCTTATGATCGTACTATTGGGATTTTTCACAAAATAATCGAACATTTTTAAACTAAATATATATTTTAAGGCAATCACAAGAACGCGTCCGAGTTTGACTATTTTTAGTGATGAAAAACTTTATAATAAAAAGTGCGTGCCTAAAAATATTTTTACGCTTGAAATTAAAAAAAAAATAGCTAATTGACTTAAATAAGTTAAGTATACTTGTCCAGCATTATGTATTAATGTGTCACTAAAATACATGTATGGGGGTCTTGTATTACTAAAAAAGATTATCATGATTCATAGGTAGAAATCTAATAATAAATTGCAGAAGCCAAAGGCAGAACTTCCTAATAGAGTCTCATCTGTAGCACGGATGTGTTTCGATTAGATACTTCCACATAGCGGTAGCCAATTCGAGCGCTGGAACGAGAACGCTTATAGGTGCTGTTTAAGATATCCATACTTTCAAGAGGGAATGCGTGTGGAAGCTTGCGGCTGCGACCTCACGCGTTCGAACACCTAAGGTATTGCTTACTCGGTCATGCCAGTAATAAATAATGAGAACAACAAACGTCTACTAGTTCGTTTAATTAAATATTGCAGGAGTCTACGTCTTGTATAATTCAATCTAAATAACTAAAGAAGCAAATAGAGAGCACTTTAATCTACGATGCTCTACGACGCGAATCATGAAAATAAGGGTCAAAGGTAATAATTACAAACAGAGACACTCGTCCCCATAGTAGGATTACTATGCACGTCCTCGTATCAAATAAAGCTTGAAACTTTAATTGTGCGTTCTATCCTTGAGATAATATATATACAGTATAAAACTATATCCATTAAACAAAATATCGTTACGGTAGCCGAGAAGATGTACATCGACAGTATAAATAACACATTTAAGTGTATTTAGTATGTGCCTTTGTATATTGTGTTGCAACCAACAAAGTCGATGTGGGTTCTTATCAGCTTAAAAACTTATCAGCTTTGATTTCGTCTTAAACACTAGGCTAGGGCAGTGAATTTCTTTTTCGAAGCATAATCGGATTCATTGTTTGTACACGACCTTTTCGATGTACACGACCTAATAATATTCTAAATATTAAGACTATAAAAATGAGACAATACTGACTTGCCCTGCAGGTTAGCGCGTTCAGTATAAAAAATTGATAAAAAATCACATTATGTTTATACCCCTCTTATTTTTGCGTAAACCAAAGGTTTTGTGATCATGATTATTGTAGTTTTTGAAAGGAGATCATTATCGTTTACCACATGTGTGGCATACATCTGTTACGAGCAATATGCAATGTTAAAGTTATTGGACTTTTCGATAAAACCTGCAAGCGCCTGGTTGATCAGTCATAAAGCTCGCTTTATGGCTTGCTCTCTTGCAGCAGCTTCGTTGATCAATTTTAAACCTGCGCGCCTTTCTCCGCTGCACAAAGGACCTCTCCGTTGTGGCTGCGATCACAAGTAGCGTTTAGTGCCGTTTAGCAGTCCTCGTCGACCCCAGAGCAGAAGCAAGCATTAGCCCATTTAACGCAGCAGTATTGCGGAGACCGCGACCGGCATAGGAGTAAGAACTGGTCCGAGTGAAAAATTTCTTCCTTATCTGGAAGTGAAATCGATTGGACGACGATGGCTTTGTCGCGACTTTTTCCGACCACTCGACTGCTTTGCCAGCAGGTAAGTCAAAAGATACATTTTGGACAGAGAATGGATCTGTGAGGCAAGAAATCATTGGCAGTTTCCTTTCCAAGTCTGGTAATCTAGTACGGTGTAGCGGTAGTACTAGCCTGTTCCACCATTGACTCTCCCTCGCCCCATCCTCCCCCTAAGATCTCAGAGGGCACTCGGAGGGTACTGCAGCTACCGTCCGACCCTTTGATTCTACTCAGATTGTCGTTCATCATCGCTAGCAAAACTTGTGTGATTGTGTGAATGGCTTTTGATACGGACCAATGTGTCACTCAACATCAGTCTACTTGAAAAAGAGGAATACACCGCGTGGAACGTTCGGAACAGCCGGCGTTGTGAAATGTGGCGCTGAAACCGGCAATACAATGCAACGGCGGCAGCTTTGGCGCTATGCCAATGGGCAACGGTCAACAACACAGTGACGATTATAAAATCCGATAGTAAAGCCTTCGACGGTTTTGACCTCGACCTCGAGCCGACGACGAGATCTGTCGGAGAGACGCGCGCCCTTGGCACGACTCTTTTGAACCGACCTGGCTAACTAACGGCGATGAAGAATGGCATTTGCTGCTGGGTGTATATCCGTGTTCAGTTTAATCAGCCTTCACAACGAAGACCAACATCCAGAGCAGCCTGTAAGGCATAGCCAAAGTATCTGAACGATCGGCACGTCACTAGGTATTGTTGATACAGGATTAATTTTGATTTTATATTGAAAAAGAAGCTTTGGCAGAGGGAAACATAGCCGGCGCATGCGAATGGACCCACACGTTCTATTTCACTGCCCAAAAAAGCAGTGAAGTATTTTGTATGCCATTTTTGGTGTTTCATGTGCATACTATAATACTTCATATAATGCATTCACACTTATTATTCGTCATTTTGTATTTCAGAGATTACCGGCTGTTCTATGCATGTCTTCGAGGGGTATTTCTGCCGACTCAACCGTAAGTGTGTGCACATCTTTGCTATGCTACTCTACGTTATACGTCGTTGAGTTCCCTTAGGGTTTCGGTTCGCTTGGTATTGCACAATCGCGATCATCAGGATGGATCACTATAGCTATGTGTGTGTAGCGCTCTTAGGATTACAGTACACCTACTGGCAAGCTAAGATTATCACCGGCAATGATCTACTCATACTGCATTCTCGTATGGGTTCATGATACTAAATTTATTGTTGCAACCACTACTGCAACGCAACGATAAGGCGCTTTTTTAAGAACGAGGTGAATCTGTGCATGCAGATTTTATCAGATAATAGCAGTGATTTAAAAAAACAATCATCCACGAAGAACACTACCTCTTCTATCAACCGGATCATCGAACTCGTTTTGTGCCTGCTCGTATGCGATATCATTTGCTAGAAATACTTCTTGTACCAGCTTGAAATGGCCACCGGTGGTCAACTGAAGTCACGCGATTTTGAAGCTATGTAAAAACATAATAAAAAACGATATAAACTATTTTCCTATTTTACGTTCGGCCCTTAAGCTGCTAGGTATCCCTTCAGACGGCTGGTTCCGAGCATGAAACGAAATGTACCTGCACCCTGATGCGGACCTAGATCATCGTCCTTAAGTTCCTACAGGGAAACACGTTACTGCGCTATCACGGGAATCGAGCAAACGATATTAGTGCATGCGGCGTCGGCTCGATTTGGGTCACAGTAGTGTCGGCTTCCCGCCATCTAATAATATAAGCACCAATGTTTGTAGACATATAGAACTGGGGATATATGCCCTGAAACTGCGCATAGATGCCAGTCAACTAGTGATACCAAACAATCATTGTCTAAGTCTTATCTACATTTGTTGCGAACGTTTTGAAAGTCAGTGAGGCAAGCCACTTAGTTTCCGACGTTCATATAATTGGTTTGTTCTGTAACTACGAATCTATCGACGGTCAGGCTAGCGCTATTCGTTATCGATCTGTACAGCGAAAATTCCAGTGCTACACAAACGCAATCGTTGACGAACGTACCGCCTCACCAAATGCGATATGAGCAAGAACGGTTGGTACGCCTTCAGCGTCGCTACATAATGCCGTCGGAATCCAACGCCACCAAAATAAACTACTTCTTGCCTGTTTCGGTCCATATAATAACGATTGTAAGGTCTCATGTCAGCTATACATAGCTCCCTGCTCTACAGACGGTCTCCAAATTAGACCCGTCTTTAGGACGAACCAATTTGCTAGCAGGCTGTAAACAAAGCGAGAGCGCATTCATTGGCAAATATGGAAGCTGCTGCTGCTTGGGGCAAACACGGCTTTACTTATTTTCCTTTGCTAGTCATTAGAAAAGCATCATCGCCACTGTATAGTATATAGCGTCAATATAGATACCAATTACTACTTCTATTATATCATGAAAGGGAAAACTGTCCAGCATTTTAAAATACAAACGGATCAGCAATAGCGCGGCGTATGCGCATACTGCACTTATTAAATCTCCATTATGAAAAGATAATCATTTGCTATAAATAGACTATTATTTTTAACGTATACACTTAGTATGGCTTGATGACAGGCCAATAAACAGGTATATCTGTGGATCAGTTTACTTAAAATAAATTTTGTCGATAACTGTCTCATGACGTGGCGCCTTCCAATCTGTACTGTTTTGGCTTTATAGTTCAACACAGTCGGGGAAGGTCAGCTGATCCCGCGGTTCTAGATTGTGACATCACGTGCGAAGAGATCAAGACGTTATCCAGTAAACGGGTAGCGTAAACGCTTTTGCCGGCGTGCGTTATTGCCTTTTGCAGGAAGACAAACTGGTCATAGAAAGACAAGGATCGCATGGCTAAAGAAACTACCCGACTTGGAAAATTGACTTTTATTACAAGTTAGATCGGACAAATATTTTACAATTTGTGGACCATTTAACGAAATTTGAATTACGTAGCATTGTGAATTATATGGAAGGTGCTGTTGTTATCAGTGGAGTGCACCGGTCTGCCTGGCTGTTCTTAGGGTCTTCGACCCTTCGAAATAGTAGAATTTGCATTATGGGTTTAAACAGCACAGTTACCCATGCACAGTATGTCGTGGTTGCGATCGATTATTTTACGTTTTCATCGACAACTTTTGGCAATTCTTGTTAATTTAGACACTGAAAATCGATGACTAAAACAACTCAAGGCATTACTAAGCAGGTTGATGAACGTATTGTATAGTATTGAAAAGTGTAATGTTTGGTCTCTTGTGGACGACTGTGGACATAATTGAAATGATACGTATGGAATATTCAAACACAATAGATTTAAGATGCTATAACGAAGCCCAGTTATGAAGGAAAGTTGAAGATATTAATCAGGTTATATAGACAGAAAGAAAACAACTAAGGTTTCAGTCCGAGTTATGGCTACAAGTTTAGAACTTCATTAATTGCCAGTGTTATGCTTCTCTTAAATTAACAATTGTCAGACGTTGAAAATCGAATCTGTTACTATTATTTTAAGGTAATTAACGTTTTAACCAACGTTGACATGATTACGTCTGGTTCAATTTATTTCGTTAACATTTTCAGGACCTTAAAACGGTGCTTGCTGATAAAATCGCTGTTGAGCGTCTCCGAGTGAAGGAATTCCGGCAGAAATGTGGCTCTCAAACCATTGGCGAAGTGACCATCGACATGATGTACGGAGGTATGCGCGGTATTAAAGGACTGGTCACGGAAACCTCGCATCTTGACCCAGAGGAGGGCATCAGCTTCCGGTGAGCAATAAACCATTAGCTAGTTTGTGTAAATAAAGAAAGCCGACTGCTCTGTGTTTCCGTTTCTCCTACACATAATAAACATACACATACCAGGAAATGTTAACTATCGATAAAATCTTCCGATGAGATTTTTTTTATGGAAACTGCGGATCGTATCTGTAACGCATAAATAGCGGACAACAATGCTCTCGCATCACGTTTAATAGCCGCGCCAAGCAGCCTGTTGTGAGTTTCCTGTTGTGGATAAACCTAACGATGACTGTCATGCACACGCCGTATCCACGTAATACCCTGTTGACGTTGTTACTTTACTGTTTAAATTTTCACTTCCTTATTTAATGATTAAGCATTTGGAAGATTGGTGGTTTGCGGGTTCGTCAAGCAATATACTTATTTTTTAATTACAAATTTGCTTACTTTGTGTGAATTGTTCATTTGTGATTCTTCTACCGTATTATCTCTATATAGGGGATACACTATTCCTCAGCTTCGCGAGAAGCTGCCAAAAGCCCCTGGCGGCGAGGAACCCCTGCCTGAGGGTCTTTTCTGGCTCTTGCTCACTGGTTCACTTCCTACAGAAGCCCAGGTGAAGGCCGTGTCACGTACCTGGGCTCAACAGGCTGATCTACCATCGCACGTGGTTACATTGCTTAACAACTTACCCGCATCTGTGCACCCTATGAGCCAGCTCTCTGCTGCTATCACGGCCTGCAATACCGAGTCGAAGTTTGTCAAGGCCTATAACGATGTATGTAAGACTGCACCCATTTTACGGTTTCCGTAGAAGTTTTTTTAACATTAATAGAGCAGTCGTTTTGTATGCCTTTCGTTTACTTTGGGTGGATATGTTCGTGCAGTAGGAAGTCGGTAATAATCATGTAAGCGATATCAAAAATGTTGTAACGTCCTTGCTACGAGCTAACACCATAATCTAAATAGGAACTTGTCTGAATTCCGACTAAGTGCTTCAAGTACTGCATAGCGTATCGTAATAACCATTTGCGTCAACCGTCAAATGGGTTAATATAAATTATTTTTTTTTTTTCGAATTCTTCACTATTTTATTTAGCATGCATCGACATACAATGAATGTCATCTTCAAATACAAAAGCGATATAAATTAGCGTCGCTCTTCAAAAGAAAGATCAAATCGGTTATATCCGGTTAGCAGAGATGAATGGCATCAATTGCGCCACTATCCAACAACATTAAACCGACTGTGTTGTCTGCTGCTGCGAAACTCTCTTAAAAGGTCGTCCTCTCAAGCTCATAGGTTTTTTGCTTCAGGGTTAGCTACAGGACTATACGTCGGTGTATAGATAACCATTTGTTCTTTTACTAGCCAAACTGGTTGTGCACCACGGACGGTGATGTCTATCTTGGTCATCACTGCGGCGCTAGAAGTCACTGTACACTAAAAATAGCAACGACAGCATCGCAATTGAAGGTCCGAAGCCATGAAGGTTTTGATACTATGAATAGCTGCCAGACAGGAATGTTGTCATCGCACTTTATGGAATATGCGGCCGGATGTAAATTCGCGCTGTTGTTTTACAAAGCACTATCAGAAATAGTAGTATTTTCGTAGTTCAATAGCGTCGTAAGCACGTTCGACTCTCTGTAAAGATATTCACATTTTTTATGATAAAACAGCTTGAGTGTTGAGTGTGAACGCGCTACGTTTTAAAAATACATCGAAGCAGAATTGGGGCCTCACGCACAGCAATATATAGAGTATAACCTTGGCAGGCCGGGCGGGTCTTCGGAGTGCTCCCTTAAACTTCTATGAAAGCTTAATATATGGCCATAAAGGACTGTGTAAAAAAAAAGAGATAATCCAATTCGATGCTGGTTTATAAGGGTAAAATGTTGCACGTACGGGATTAGGCGGTTACCTAGTTATAGCATAAATATAGACAATGCAAGTTATCCACACGAGCTTAAAACTAGTTTATGATTATGTTGTGTCTCTCGATTCAGTTGATACCTTTCTATTCGTTGTTAAGTGAACCAGGTTGATGTTTAAGGATTTGTCTACTAATTTCAAAGTACTTTAATCTTCAGTCATGTTTGGTACCTTATAACTAGTGCCAAACGAGGCAGATACAGTAGAAGGCGTGTGGTTAATTGCCGATAATGCATACCATAACACGTTCCTACAAAATTATATTTTCTTCATATTTCTACGACGGGTTCTTACCAAAGGTGTGTTACTCAACCACCAAATTAGCTGAGCACAATGGAAAGCCCAAAAGATCGATTGCAACGGTAAACTTCATACAATTAACATTAAGTAGCATTTCCATTTTGAGCCGACTATTTTAAGAAATTATATTAATTAAAAAAAAAAACAACTTTATAATAGATACCTTGACAAGTAGCTGTGCTGGACAAACTCTAATCCATACATGCAAAGATATCCAAAAATATTGAATTATTTCTTATAAGGCTTATCAGCAAATCGCTCACAAACGCATTGCGAGAAAGGTGTAGCGTGTTGATAACTAAAGTATGTAGGCAATTAATGTCAGCTGTTATGAATTGGTATTTCGTATTGATTTGGGGTATTTTAGGGCGTAAACAAGATGGCCTATTGGGAGTACGCTTATGAGGATTCCATGAACCTGATTGCCAAACTGCCGACGATTGCGGCTATAATCTATAAGAATGTCTACCGTAACGGAGAGTCCGTACCCCCCATCGATGGTGACAAGGATTGGTCAGCAAACTTCTGCAAGATGCTGGGTTATAATGATCCTCAGTTTACCGAGTTGATGCGTCTTTATTTGACCATTCATTCCGATCACGAGGGTGGTAATGTATCTGCTCACACGACCCACCTTGTCGGTTCAGCTCTTTCGGACCCGTACCTGTCACTTGCTGCAGGTATGAACGGCCTTGCTGGACCGCTCCACGGCCTCGCCAACCAGGAGGTGCTAGTCTGGCTTTCGAAATTGCAAAAAACACTTGGTAAAGATGTGTCTGACGAGCAGCTTAAAGAATTCGTTTGGAAGACACTCAAGAGCGGGCAGGTTGTGCCTGGTTACGGACACGCCGTACTTCGAAAGACTGACCCCCGGTACACCTGCCAGCGTGAATTCGCCCTGAAACATCTACCAAACGACCCGCTGTTTAAGCTGGTTGGACAAATCTACAAGATCGTCCCCGACATTCTTTTACGACTCGGCAAGGTCAAAAACCCCTGGCCCAATGTCGATGCCCACTCTGGTGTCCTGCTTCAGTACTATGGTAAGCTTTTCGATTTAGGAAATACATGAATACTGCCATTACAAATTTTTTTTTCTGTATCTACGGTTGTCACTTCATAGACCGTATACTGTTCTGATTTTAGAAAGTGGTGCGTAAAGTTGTGCTTTGCTATGATGCAATTCTGTTGTCATGATACGGTAATCCTTTTGAGTGTCTCGTGGCGCCGGGCAGATGTAGCGTTTTCACGTTTGAAGACGTAGTTCATTATCTCTTAAGTAGATACGCGATAAAATTATCAATAGAAGGCAGCGAACAAGAAAAGCCATGTTCCCTGACAGGCGGGTTGAGTGACCTTTGTCCACGAGACTGAGTGACAGAGCAGCGGAATTACACAGCGTTCACACCGTTCAGCCGCTACTGTTAAAGGGATGAATAGAACCAGAATAGGTCACAGAGTAAAAACGTTTTTCGAATGGTAGTCTGACTCATCTCGAAACAAGTGGCAGAGCGGTTTCTTTCTCTCAGCTGCTAAGATTCACCAGTAACCTATTTCTTTGCCCTGTTTTTTGTCCAACGTCACGTGATTACTCAAGCGTCGTTCTAATATCCGCGCTGACGTTGTCAGTTGACTCCCGAAAAGCGCTAACATGCTATGACTTGGATGATAATAGGTGCTTCTGACATCTTTCACAGGTCGGATTCGATTCACCTACTGGCTGCTGGTTTTTACATTTCGTTGGAATGGACGGGCTACTTGATAAAGGCAACACTAAATAAAATGTTTGTTCTGTGCGTTGCATTACAGGCATGAAGGAGATGAACTACTATACAGTTCTGTTTGGAGTGTCGCGTGCTTTGGGCGTTCTTTCGTCGCTTGTGTGGGATCGTGCACTTGGCCTTCCTATTGAGAGACCCAAATCAATGACCACTGAAGGCCTTATGAAGCTCTGCGGCTTAAAATAAATAGGTGAAATGCTCCTAACCGATCTCGCTCACTCTTTAAATGGCCGTTACGATCTGCGAACTCCAAAATGGAATAGGCTTCAAGGTAGCATGAGTTCAATCTAAGAATGAACACGTAAGAATGTATCGTTCCGTGATGTATGATTTTACGTTAAGGGAAGAAGCGACTTTGTGCGGAAGAAATGCGAAGTGGAATCGCATTGATCAAATGTTCAATAACTTCAGTTCTTCTAAACTAAAAGAAAAATAAGTTCAGCAGCAAGAAGTTCAAAACGTATCACCCGTTGGAAAAATATGGGACTAGTTCATACGCCTCTCTGGGAAAGCGTCGTTGAAATGAATATGTATATGTAGAATTTATTGTCGGAAAAACATGGAAGGGGGCTATTTTTACAAAGAATTCTCTTTCTAAATACTTTCATAATTCATAGTATACTCACATACAGACATACATATGACTGCGCACACGATAGATATACAGAATTAAGCAAATGATGTAGAATATATACAAAACCTTTTAAGTAACAGTCTTCAATGGTATAGTGATGATTACGATAAGCGAAAAGCTAGTGTTTTGCTTTAAGTAGTGGAACTGCAATGGCTGGATCGGGGTTTCGTGGTCACGTTATAACATTTTAATGGATGTTAGATTAGTACTAAGCAGAAAGCAACAGAACACAGAGGCCAGTTGAAAATAGACAACCAAAATAGAACGATATGAACGCATTATTTACATATAGACCACCAAGATCGTTTTCTAATGCGTTACCCCAGTGCATCGAAATTACGTCTTTCTGGCTTCTTTCACCTGAATGAACGAAAGAAGGAGAAAGAGAAAAAAGCGTGTACAATGATAAAATATAGCTAATAATGGAATGATAACGGTGGACGTTGCAGCAAAAGAATGTAAGTAAGTAAGCATGGCAACAATGTAACAATTAACTGAAATACGTTGTACAAACATAAACATGCGTGGATAAACAGTAGAAACGTCGAATCAAGCATCGAAGATGCTCATCGATATTTAGTTTAATTGTTTCAGGATTACTATATGGAAAGATGAGGTGACGAATTCATGTAAGAACCAGCAAGAACATGAAACATGTTATAATATTAATGAAGTAGTTATAGCGATGATAGCATATACTATACGATAATTGTTTGTGGCTTAGGGAAGTGGGCAACAGCTAAAACGTACATTAAGATCTGATTGTCGTTTTTCCCTCGAATTCATCCGAAATGAAGTGAAAAAGCTGCACCGGTTTTTTTTTTTAACTCTTTTTGTAGTTGGCAGGGTGGTTTTCTGTCGAGAACCTCTTAGCAAGGACAATTCGTACATCTTCGATGGACGACGGGACGAGGGGTCATGAATACTGGGTTGTTTTTGCTGTCTCGACGCTACCTAAATGGTCGAGAATGTCTTTGTAAGATCAAGCCGGATAAAATAACTTGTTCATACAAATCAAGTAATGGATTTTTCTGTGCACGCCCCATCATACAACCATTGAATATAGAGGAAATGCACGTAAATAGGTCCAAGAAATAGAACAGTTTTGAAGAAAACGGAAGATGAGGAAAGTGGCTTATAAAGAAGGGTGGCTAATGTTGATAATGATCACGATGATGGTCAGAAGAAGAAAAGCGTGAGGAAGGGGAGAAACATTATTAGGCAGAGCGCAGAGTACACGAAAAAATGAAAAAAGAAGAACGTGTACCACTACTACAGACTAAACCATTTTAGTTTGATGCATCGGTGTGCTGGTAAAGTGAATTTGCTAAGTTATTGGAACATTAAGTAAAACTAAGTTTAATGTTATTGAAAGAATGGAAATTGGAAAGAAGGCGATAACCGTAATGATGAAAGGTAGAATGAAACAAAAAGTCGAGATGGTTACGAGACAACTGAATAAACCACAAATGAGTACTTAAGGAACGCGCAAGCGTGTTGTTGCTCCGTATTAGGTGTGAGAGCATTGCCCTTGTAATGGAGCAGTGGTAATGTGTTTGCGTAGTAAACTTTTAGCGACGAGGTGGTCCAGGTTCGAAATCCAGTGTCGATGCATTTCATGTTGGGCTGCCAGTTGCCAGCCGTCTGAAGCAGCGCCAATCGGCGGTATCGGAAGTAAAACTGGAAACATTCGTCTATTTAAAGATGAGACCGAGAGCGGTCGAAAAATAGTAGCATTTGTTTAGAATTTTTTTTATTTTCAAAATTTTCAAGCTTTATAAACCTGTCACGTGGTATATTAGTGCAAAAAATAACCATGCATATAGGGAATCAGCGTACAAAACTTTTTCTACCTGGCAGAGACTGTACACCCCAAATAGTGCTCTAATACAAAACGCATGCAGATAGCCATCTATACCAAAACATGGTATAGATGGCTATTCGCGTCTCCTTAAATGCGTTTTCATGGTAACCGTAACTAACGGGTCACACTGATTCAAATTTGAGCGTTTTTTCCAAACAATATCAAGGAAATATGGAGTGAAAGAAATCAACGAAAAATAGGATATTTCTACTAAAATTATTAGCTGCTTGCATGGTTGCCGTGCTATTTCATAGATCCGTTGAAGTAACCCTAGATAGGTTTAGCCAGACTTAAGTTAGGCTTCTGATGGGAAAAGTCCTTGATGCGATACAGAAAAATACGTGACTCCGAGGACTTATTTACAAAATTGACGGTGACTAATAAAAAAAATACACAAAGCGTTATCGTGTGAAAACGTCTCTTTGTGAGACGTTGACAAACACTTACAATCATGGTACCAGGCGATACAATGGAACTTACATAACTCGACCAGCTTAACTAAAGGTAGCAACTTACTTTTGTTATATACGTTGTTAATAATAATGAAGTATGTAGATCAAATTTTGTATAACAAACTTCCTAACATATTAAGAAACCCACTGTTCCCTTTATGTAGAAATCGCTACATGCGAAATTTTTTAGACTTATACCAGTATATTGTTGTACCCATATATAATTTTAAAAAGGTGCACGCTGTAGCTTAGAGAAGGAACCTGGGTATTCTATTTGAGCTCTGGTTCGATGATCAGACGCGGTTGAATACGACAGTGAGGCAATATTGTACAAAGCTGTTTGGACATCTATAGGCTATCAGTCTTGATCGTTCGCTAGCAGAACTCGTTCTCGAGGACAAAGCCAGTTATGACTCACCATCTACGGTGTACGGTCAAACATTTGAGACCCGTTGTGATGGCGTGTAGACGGCCTGAATCAATAGCACGTAAACTTGCGTCGGCCATTGTTTGAAAGGTCATGTCATGGGCACGTACAATCAATGTCATCAAGCATCATCCAACTGCACTTTTTCAAACTGCAAAAAAGTTGCATTTTTTTTTTGCATTTTACTGCGTGTAAGGGGATCGAAAGTACTACGCTATCGAATGTCTTGATTCCGCTTCCCGGATAGCGTATTGAGCATAGGTGGTGCAGCATAGTAACTTAGCGGCACCATCTAAAGAAGCGTTTATATTGATCTCTGCGAGAAAATAAATAGGAATTGTCGAATGCGCACGCAGGAAGGGAACATACATAACGTAGGTTATGTTATGTATCATTAAACAACATTTACGTGCGATTGTATAACGTTTCGCGATATTCACTAATGACATGCAGATCGAAATCAACCACTCACCTCTATACTCCCGGGGGAACCGCTTTGGCAACACCTCACGACCATTGTTAGCTGACGGAATACGGTGGTCGAGCAACGGAAGAAGTAGAAAAAAAGTTGCCTACCGTAGTATCATAGTTAGTTCGCGTCCTTGACCAAAGTCCAAAGTCGACAACGAACGAATCAATAGAACATAAGCATTTTGTAAAACCACAGTCGCCGGCGTAGAAAAATAAGGAACAGAAGGGACAAACAGATAGACAGCTATGTACCAAAGGCACTTCGAAAAAAACCGGCACCCTATGTAGCCAAATACAATTTACGTCTCGCCTATAGAATTGTAAAGGAATACATGCACAGGCATTAGGATGCTGACGTGCATATTTTGTGTGAGTCTCCTCTTCTAATCGCCGTGTTTCGATTAGAACAGACGACGATCTAACGCCTGTCCTCAGGTAGACTTCAATTGAATCCTCTTTATGCTCCTAAACAAAGGCTGCGTTCACTAACTCTCAAATAAAATTGCTTTATTTTTTAGCTGTAACAAGTATAAATATTTAAACCAACTGTTAATTTCTAACAGATGTGGCATCCGTTATAAATATTGTAAATGCTTCAGTGCACGACCAGTGGCTATCTACTATCGTACTTTCTTTTCGCGACCGATCGCTCGGGTGTAGCTGAATAGCTTGCCGTTGGTATCTAACAAACGTGTGAACTAGATTGGCGGTGTTACATGCTGTGCGGACCATATAAGTTCAGCACTATATTCTTGCATCCCTCGAACTCTTATTATGTTTCTGTGAATATTCTTAGCTTGAATGTACTTTTTAAAAGGCCTTGTCTGGCATCGATTTATATTGTTATACGATAGACACATCGGATCTATAGCATCTCTGTTAAGGTCGGGGTCTAGCCCCTATGGCGAAATGCCTATTTACAAACAAGGTGGAATGTTATTCATTAGTGCAAATAATGTGCAGTGATGCTATTTATAATAGTATACATACGACTCTTGCGGCTGCTTGAATCTGTATAGTGACACAGGAACCACCATTGCGTTAAATCTCTACGTTTTAACTCGCGATACTAATCAAAGAAAGTTCTAGTTCACGAGCACCGTTTCAGATATACGATATGGTAACGTTTTTTGTCATCACCAGAAATGTCGTTTGCACCATGTCTATGTGCTGTTTGACAAGTACAGCATCTTGATAAAACTCAACAGCTTTCTCCATGTCGAGTTCAACCGGATTGCGTAACAGACTATTTTTGTTTCGTGTATCTTCACGGAGAAGAACCGTTTACAGTGTTTTTCTCGAATACTTGCCTAATTTTCAAGAACAAGTGACTGGAAGTAAGTTCATCTTTTTGGCCATACTTTCACTCTTTAACTGGATGGCAGCCGCAAAAAAAATAATGTAGGAATATCATCTTGTATAAGTTCACCAGAACGTATCTTTTGAGATAAAGCTTCGGCTATTATTGTTGTTATTAAAGCACTGGCAAACAACAACGCATCCTGGGAGAACAAAAGCTCGAGCAAAGACGGCCAGCGTCTCCATGAATCGGTTCTATCTATTCAGATGCGACGGTTGCACTAGCGAGGACAGTTTCGATCCATGGTCGGAACTTCGCCATATTTACATAAACACCTGGCACGCCAGGAGTTCCACATCCGATGCCCCATGACACGAGGCCCACCACCTTCCATACGCCCTGATCTTCGCAAACCAATGGACTTCCACCGTCGCCCTGCAAGGGTACAAACGATCAGTTGTTCGTTATCAGTTATTTCCACATAAATACTATCACCCTTTTTACAACGGATGGAACAATAATTTTGATACCTCCATGTTTGTTCGTACGAGGTGATCTCTATTGACAAGAATGTACATACCGTGCAAGCATCCTTTCCAGGTTCTCCTCCGGCGCAAACAAAGCTCGTATGCAGCTTGAAAAGAAGTCCTAGACGCGTTTTGCGCAAACGATCTTGGCAATCCAGAGGATCAAGTAATGGTACGTCGACCTTGCGTAAGACGTGCTGATACGCGCCCTGTGGGCCGAATGCGTCCTTGCCCCATCCGGTGACCCAACAGTGCTGTCCGATAAAGTTAACGGCCACTTCAGGTAGACAGGCGGCGGCGATATGCGGGGCGTTCAGATCAACCGGGCCGTCCATACGCAATAAAGCCAAATCGTTGTTCAGATTACCAGGAAAGAACTCCGGGTGGATAACTACGTCCGTAACGAGTTTCTCAACGTGAGCATATAACTCATCCTCACGATGGACGTCCCATTCACCTAAGCGCACTTTCAATTCATGAGGCCGGAGATTCTTAAGACAGTGGGCGGCTGTAGCAATCCATTGACTAGCAATAAGTACACCGCCGCACACATAGAGGGACTCGTGCGGACCGAGTCGTTTCATAATACCGACGTGCCAAGGAAATTCGGCAAAGTCGGTTCCAGATTCAGGGTAGTTAAGGTTGGCAACACGTCCGCGGGCTCCGTACGAGTTCCTGGAACCGCAAGTCGGATATGATTGCTGAAGCCCAATAGAACTGACAGGAGGGTAAGCCCCAGAAAAATCGGAGTCGCTAGACGGAACAAATGCTTGCGGGAAGTCCTGTTTGCCAAAACCTGGCTTATTATCGAAATCGGTGAAGGAATTAACTCGTTTGCTGTCAGGCGCAAAGGCGGCCGCCTTCAGGGGGAAGGAATCAGCAGGAAGAGCGTTACGATCGTAAGATGGTGGGATTCTGCAGCAGGTCTTAAGTACTCCACAATGTCCGAAGTTGACGCCTAGCATCCGCTGCATAATCTCCGTTGCGTAAGCTGGGGCTTCCTCACGTCGCGATTCAACGCCCTTCGTAGAATTAGCCTCATCATCTTTTATTTCGCCTATGAACTTCTCCTGTGTAAGAAAAAAACATTGAACTTTCAATTTAGATGTGCGATACCTTAATGAACTACGTGTTGTCTACTATTGAGAAAGTGCTTCAGCAATTCACTCCAATTCAATAACATTGTACGAAAAAAATACTTTGTAATTTAAGAAAATAATCGTTGACTAGGCGAAGGTACTAATAAAACAGCGTAAATTAGCTGCAGTTATGAATATCTAGTTATCATATTCTACCATTTGCTCGAGGAACATCATCTTTTTTCTTATGCAAAAAATACTGATAGATTACTAAAACAGAGCATAAGGCCTTTTTGTTCTACTTTTTTATCTATCGTTCCTCAAAAACAATGCAAGTATGCCTTTCTGTCAGCTGTGCGGTTTTCCGATTTAACATCACGTTATCGAGTAGTAGTCTTCGTCAATGACGCTTCGCGACTAGCACCCACCCCCCGCTTCTGTGATTCCATCGGAAGTAGAAGAATTTTTGAAGACTATCGCTGTTTGCAGCCAATGTTTGGACCACTTTTCTTTCTGATAGAGCCCGATATTACTACTATACAGCTACTGAATGAAGACATTGTGCCCCCATTACGAAAGCATAGCATGTAAGCCCAGCGCGCTCCACTGGTCATGGCCATAAGAAGGGAAGCAGCGTCATCGATGATGCGACGTTGCGCAGCAGATGAAAAGGCTCTAACGTTAAGACTCCTTGAGCCAAGTGCCCCTACATTGCCCAGCCCCACGGATTACATGGCATTTAGACGGTGCGCTGGCTTCGCTGAAGGCGACGCAGCAAGATTACCGTAATGAAACATCATTGAAGGCAGGCAATAGGTAAATGTCTGGAGGTTTCCAGATACTTCAGTAGGAGCTTGCATTGGTATAAAAGACGTCCATGTAATTGCGTCGCCGGTTGTCACAAATATAGGGACAGTTGTGACAAGTTGGGCAAAGCTGCTGGAGTTTTCTTTCCGAACTACTTAGCATCATATTAGAGATTCATACTTAGAGATTCTTAGCATCATATACCATTTGAGGTTCTTACAGATAAGCACACTACGTGAAAATTAATGGGTATTAAAGATGAGAACGTTGAGAACCTGAGTAGAATGAACCACAAATGTTGGATATGGAACAGATCCAGTTGCTGAAACTCCAAGATTGCGTAAATTTATACGTCTGTATAGGATTTTTTTTACATAACTGTATATAATGCGAGCCTAGCATTACAGATGTCGTATTTCAGTTTTAGGCTAAAAGAGCTGCTAGCTAAGGTTCATCTACAGGGTGCCTTTTCAGATAAGGATCTATTTCCTGATTTGTGCCTTTATTAACTGTGATATAAACGAAAGCATAGTTACGACGCGAAGATTGTTACCATTAGTAAATCCATACTATTCAAAGTAGTACTTTCAGCGATATAACAGTATTCATGATAAAATACGAATGTCTCTCATGGATCGCTTGCTCGTTCCAATTAACGCAATACGCTGTGGACGTCGAACAATAAGCTGCTCAATAGATCAGCATAAAAGGCACCAAATAGCACCCTTCTGAAAGAATCCTAGTTGTAAAAAAAGGAAGACTATAGCTTTCTGGAGCAGATACTGTTGATTTACTTTTACTTACGCATTAAAATATATGGCTTTGCGCAATAACGAGCACATGTTACCAACACGACTGTCTCTTCTGGCCCATGCTGGCCCTTTTTGACAAAAAACGGCCCAAACAAGCCTTGTTTTTTTGCATTGTAATCTCGATTCACAAAGCTAAACTTATACTTTTTTCACTACTGCGTGAGAAGGGACTCCTGCTAATTATTATCCGACTTGACTAATGAGATCTTGAACCAAGCTATTTACGCTTACATTCAAAGTTGGCAGCTCTCGCTTTGGGCGAGACATATCGTTGTCCTGTTTGGTCTGCTCATCGTCCTTGGCACGTTTATTAGCCTTGGAGTCCGCACTGCGGCCTTCTAGACTCAGCTCCTCGTTATCATCATTGGAGCGTTCGTCTATATCAAGAAAAGACTGGTCATGGTGAGGTACAGGATCGAATCGACGGGGCGGCGGTGGCGAAATAGGCTCTGCAAATCCCAGATTTGGTGGATACGATCCAGCGTTAGATCCATACGAGTCCACTCCAAATCCTGACGTGCTCCCGATCAGGAATCCATCCTTATCGCACTGGTAGTGGCGCACACAAACACATTCATCTTGTGCGGCTGGCGGAATCGGACCCAGCGATGGGAGTGATCCTCCAATGGGTACATACGGACGGTTCACAATGCGCTTGTCATATATAGGCTTTTCCACTGGCCTATACCTTTTATCAATAATGTTTATCCTTTCAAACGCCTTTTTCGCTGTATGCTGAGAAGTCGTCAAGACCTGCGACAATTGTACATCGTCTTTACGAATGCTCTGTAAATATCAAGAGCAAATAACATGTTAGAATGAGGCAAACATCTAAATATACGTACATACTCTTCGTACATTATGATCTTAAATAAATATAAATAAAAATAGTTAACCTGGCGTTTGAGTAATTTTACTGGAAAGAAACAAATTTTTTTAACAGTTTTTCCATGTGCTCTAAACAACTTAAATATTTCAGTAACATTTAATCTGATCTGTGAGCAAATCGGTGGACGTCTCTGGTGATAAGCCTGAACCAATTTTGCCTTATCTTACACAACTCAAAGACAACGATCTTGATACGGATCTATCCAATCGATCGGACTTTTCTTTATTGGGATTTGACGTTCGATTGGTGCGATGATTGGTAAATCAACACCTATGGCGGATTATCTTTGCTGTAAAGAGTAACGATTGTTCAAGTACCTTTCCAAATGGCTTTCAGATTACGCTGTCTACTTTTTGTCGGTATCCAACAGAAGTAACAATGACCTGACTGTGCGGTTCCTTGAATCTGTCAGTATGTGGAACTATGAAGCCATTCGACGCAGCCAGCTAAGGCATTAACGCTGCGCCTGATCTTCTGTCCACACTCTTAAGTAGCTCTACAATCTGCTACTAAAGCATGAACAAGTTATGACGCAGTGCGTGGCATTCGCCTGTTCACGAAACGGAACGCGTTTGTTGTACGTCTTCTTATTCAAAATGCAAAACCTAATAAAACCGATTCCCCTATTTACAAAAATACTTGCAAAGGTGAGCTGGGTAACATTAAGCAATATTTGTTTTATTTGTTTACTTGTCAATGGAGAAAGAGGATTCTCAGTACTTTTTCTAGCAAATCGAATCCGAGAACCGGTTAGCTTTTGTAAGACAACGACGTAATCCAACATGTCAATCCTCCAAATGGCAACGGATACCAAGAAAACGTTCAACTTCGTCGTGTTATACTGAGCTCACCTCGACTGGCTGAAATCCTGTGGTGGGTGGTGTGCCCCCAAATGCTGGAATGTGCGCATATGCTTCGGGATCGTTAACGATTCGCGACTCAGGGGCGACCGCAACTGCGTTGTTGACGATTCGGCCCTGCCGTTGCCGGCTTTCGAACGGGAGTGTCGCGTTATTGTGGGCAATTCTCTGTGAAGCAAGACAAAAAGTCTAGTTAGCGACACTCCATTTCATCTGCAACCAGGTGTTTCGATAATATCTGAATTTGTAGTTGGTGCAGTTGGTTCCTTCGTATCAAAACAAACATTGATTATACCTGCTCGTGATGTCTAGCAATCAGGTCAGCTCGAGCTCGAGCTGCCCGGCCAATGATGATTTTCGAGCCAGACTGAGTCTCGTAGACAGACGTGTCGTTCGCATCCTTCACTGCCATGACATAACGCACCTCGCGAGGACTACCTGTACTTACTTCTGTTATACTACCATCTGTAAGAGTCAATTGGGTGACTTTAGGACCTTATTATTACTGACTACTTGTGTAGTCGTGTTTTTGCATGTTAATTTTTTACAATTGCATTTTTTGGGCTTCGTATCCTTACAGAAAACTTTTATATTGTGGGAGAGCACCTGAGTAGTCGGTATCAGTGAAAGCAACCACGTCAGCGACCATTTTGTTCCAGGAAAGTGTGATCCTTGATGAACGTTGTCGAGGGAATGGACAGCAGTACACTTTGCCACCACAATGTAACCTTTACAGAAATCATTGTATTAATATACGCGTTTACATTTTCACGTGATCTCATCGGCGAAAGAAGTCTTTCCTTCTGCATTATTATATGTAACGGGAAGGAGGTGACCCCCTGTTTTTGGTAGATTCAAAGCAGTGATTCAGTTTTTTTGGGCAAAAATGTGTGTATACTTGTGTGGTTATATCGCTGGCATTGCAATGCTTGCCTGATCCTCATTACCTTGTGCCTGATTCGTTTTTGTGGCCCGACTCCTGTTTCAGCACTTCCAACTCTTACTTTAGCTGCTTTTTGTTATGGTTATTTTCCTGTTGAAGCGAAAGTTTTCTTGGAAGATGAAGTTAGGCAGGCGAAACTCCGCACTAGGCAAAGCTATGGGGATGTCGGTGCTGTGCTTCGACATCCCTTTGATGTCTGTAGCTTAACTGTTAGCTTTTACATTATCTTCATTCGCTTCGCTCAGCCATCATTAGCCCGGAGGACTTGGCTGGCAAGCACTCAGGCGGTCACCGGAACAGACCGTCGTGCGCACGCAGTCAGACCGACAATACTATAGAAGGATCAATGTTGCCCCGCATGTTCCCCTCACTTTCCCTTTTTCCCGTTGTCCGAGCTTATCTTGAAAAGCCACGCACAACGAACATATGTGCAAGTCGCTTGATTCGAATTTTGTGGTAATGCCCGCGTTGTGGACACAGAGAACACCTGTATGAGTAATGCCACGCACACGTGCACAGACTAGCCGAAAATCATTAGCCGCTCACATAGTACGAGTTCGACGGGTCACAGGCTCAGATTCCGCTACAAAGCAACACAGCGGTACGGCTGTTTCGATGGTAGTGAATAACATATGTGCCATGTGCAGATGATAAAAATGATGTCTCTTGTAACTTTGTCTTGCCCCTGTGACTGACAGACAAATAGAAAATAAATAAAGTTTGACGGAAAGTTGTCAACGATAACAATGTAACAATGCAGTTGCACAATTGTGTAGAGCTGTATGGAAGCAGAGCGAGCGTGGGACATAGAGGAACGAATGATCGATAGGGCAAGAAGTCACGTATCCAATGAATACATGTAAAAAAAAAGTCGCAGAGTTAGCTGCGTGTGTGGCCTGTATTTTTGAAGCTAATAAGGCACAATTTTTGAGTTAGGGGATTGGGGACAGAGAAGCTTTTTTATGTCAATAGGACTTAGTCGGGAAAAGTGATTTACTCAGAATCTGCTGAAGCGTAATCAACCTGTTAGCTTTAACGACACGGGATATCCGCTAAGGAGCACTGCTGTTATGTCAGACTTTTGCCGTATCTCTTGTTTGAATCTCAAAACTCTACTACATCAGGTACATAGTATATACGAGAGGCTTCGTTTGTTAGCTTGAAGTGCACCCAAATCAGATAACAGTATCCGTAAATGTTTAAAGTTTTAGATTAAACTAAGTAGGCACTCTTAAATAAATAAATACAAAATATTTTTTTGTTGCATTAGCGTCGCGGATGGCAACTGTGTTTCCAGTAAAGGGTTCACCTTGCTAGCCCTTTTTAACCTGTGTGGCCACCTTTTTCCTGTTTCGTGAAATTGTATCAAAACAACTGACTAATAAATAACAGTTTTCTTTAGCTACATCAAAATGTTTTTTTTTTTTGCCAAATTCAATGTCAAAACGTTTCTTACGTTGTATCTGTTCGATACAAGTAGGTGCCGTTAAATAGATGCTAGAACCCAGATATAACACGCGGTAATAACCAGTAACGTTACCATTAAATATGCAGAAAATGAGAAGCGCCTTTATATTAACTTAGATCTGTCAGCTTATATCAAACCAAATCAAACTGAGATTAGTATTATTATATCTGAAACCGTTCATCCATCCCTACGATGAAGTTAATAACTTTGTTGGGATATGGGGATTGGCGACCAATGGCAATTAAACGTCGGCCTGGCAGTCGCATACAGTTGACGAGCAGTTGGGTCTCGGCAACGGTGGGTTAGTTGACTCTGTCTATTATGGCCGACATAAACAATTATCAAATTTTATACGGGCTTCTCGTCTCGTTTACATATCTCATACTGCCATACATAATACGTATAAGCCAATCGACGCTACAAAAGATGGTACTCTAACGTTTATATGTATCTAATAGATTTATTTACTGTTTAAATAGCTGTTTTGGTTACAGAAATCAAGCGAGTTGCTGGGTTGGTGATCATGTATAGAGAATGTAGCATGTGCCTATAGCAAACGACTAAAGTGGCCAATCCACTCATATCAGATACAATGAGTTTCCGAATGATGTCATTTTTTCAACAGTGGGATTTTGTTTAATGTAGCCTAACATATCTTAATGCTGCCGAAGTCCCTCTCGTGAAGTCAAATCGGATCAAAGTCAGTTTAACTAGAGCTCTAACTTTGTACTTGCGATGATAAAACATCGGTCAAACTCGACGAACCTCGTGAAGCGTTCGCCGCTTCCGTTCCTACAGCCAGAAGTAGCGCTGTCACCCATAACATTGCTTCTGTCATCTGCGAAGGCAAAAACGTCAAACACAAACAAAAGTTAGCACTTGCTAAAATATTTTCTTATCAATATATTGTTTTCAAAATTATGTACACCTCAGAAAGCTTCTGCCGTATTGGACTATTTCGATATACAGCGCGCTCGTTACATCCATCTGGAACTAGAAAAAACCTTAATTTCAGTGTTTTAAACCTCGCCTATTAGTCTCTTTGTCTGACCTATCTGAGCATAACCTTATTCATGACGCTTCTCACGGTCATTATAGCCTTCTTTTCGTTGCCCGACGCTTATCAGACTGGTTGAGATTACATGGCCAGTGACTTAAATGCAGATTGCGGTAATGTTAATTTTGGATTCCCTAAACCTAATCATTTGCCCACTGCCCAATTTTTCGGCATCACATTTGCTAAGGGCCACTCATTATGTCTAAATATTTTACAATGATTCTCTAGTCCTTAAGGAGTTTCGCTACTAAAAACTTGACGATTTTCAGCAAATCAATGGAACTCCATTATTTCGCACCGATAAATAACACTTTTATCTACGAGTAAGCTTCATCCTTGAATTACGACAATTAGTTAGTCCTTTATCTCTGCTTGTGTCCGGATGTGAAGTGTCTATACGCATTTCAGTATGCTTTTGATCACTTCGAAGCCCTTTTTTTCTTCCTGTAACTATTGTGCGCCAACGTGTCTAGCGGTGCTCAGCAGATACGTATTGTATTATAAAACCCGCTCTGAAGTTATCTCCAGTACGCAAGAAAGGCCGCAGACTAACCTAGAAGCTGAGTTCGATATTGCTTCAGTATCTCGACACTAATTTTTATTGCCATCGGCCGCTTAATTCGTCTGGGAAGCCGAATATTCACGAATATGTATGCCTTCACCGGCTGCAGACGCCTGCATTTCACATATCTCAAGATAATTACTCTGCTCTTCTGTCTTGCTTCATTTTATGCGCTGAAAATCAGCTTTATATTCCCTATCGATTACATATAACTGGGTTATCTCGTTTTTTTACTTTTAAAAACAAGAGTTCACATCGCTCGTGCGCCCACGTCGCGTATTTATATTCGAAAATACGGTCATGAGGAAATAGAAAGAAGAGGTACGGTAAATCAAGGAACTGGAGCTACCGATGGTATTCTTGTAAGACGTATTACAGTTGTTTCTCCAGAATTCAAATGCCTTCTCATGAAATATAGCATTGTAAGATTACTAGCAAGGAAGACGAGGAAAGCCTACCGTACGAGGTTTTACTAAAAAGGGTAAATAAATATTCCCCCCAACAGGACAAACAATGATTATTATTTGTCATATCGATTAGCTTGAAGCGTCTCTGTGCGGCGTTAATCGAAAAGAATCGTCCAGCTCTTCGAAAGAATCAAACGTGCCATCAACCAACGCCATACATTCAGACCTGATACGCTTCCAGCTGTGAGATCACATGTTCGTTCTACAACATTTGATCATCTTCATATATTTGAATTACTTTTTACCAGTTCTTCGAGGTTATTATAAGGGCCACGTTTGTAAGGTTACAAGTTTTCATTCTAAAGCTGTCGTATAGCGAGTGAGGTACGTCAACTGAACCATCTGAAGCTATTGTTACGCGTCTTCGATATATTAAACATATAAAATCGCGCAATCATTGCAGGAAACTATTATCGTATCGAAAATGCTTCTGTACTCGGTTAAAATAGGGGTAAAAATGACGACTGGTGATGAGGTCGGAGGGTGAAAAGCCTATAATATTGAGACTGACGAACATATTCTATCAGTTGTACTTCTGCAGCAAACGGAAATGTTGACGGCGATGTGAAAATAGTCAACAAACTGTCGGCATGAATTAACGTGAATCATCGAAAGGCATTGTAAACAAAAAATAAAAAAAGTAGAAAAAAAAACATGCAAAATTACATTTTGAAATTTAGTGTGATTGATGACCATCATATTATTGCCAGATGCGAACTTGCCCATTTCTATCAGTAGATAAAAGGCGACAAAAAGTTCGGGTCTACTTAAGATATATATTTTTAGCACATTTCGGAAGTTACGACATAGATTTAGAACCTCTACGACAAATCTGTGGATAGACAAAACAACATAGCAACTTCCGGAGCCCTACATTGTATCAGCTCCGTTGTAGGACTTTTACGTAAAACTATGCGTCAGCAATAGCCTGCTAAACGCAGCGGTAATACTTTTAAATAGGCGGTAAAATACAACTAACTGAAGCAAAAACGGCTTAACCGGTCCGAACAACATGTCCATTTCAGATGGCTTCCAGTAATGACACCCATTTGTACGAAATCTTACTATACGCAAATATATTTTATCATTCAGTTAAGTATCGAAGTAAGACAGCCGGAGAACGAACACGTTCAACCGATACCAATTGCTTTACCTATTTCCAAGATGAATATACACATTAGAGATGCGAGGGAATAGAGTCATTTTTTCCTAAAAAATAGTTTCAAATTTTACCATTCACATATGCCCGGTCCACTTTTTTCAACTCCTCATCTACTCGGCTCTACTGTTGTGTTTGCCATTGCCACATTGTCGATACTTACGATCATTGGTCACTAGTCACCAAACGGGTACCAAGTCACAGCTGAATTGTTGGTAAGTTTTCTATTCACGGTTCGTGTTTGTAATCCTTTGTTGACCTATACGTAACTTTGCCTCCTATCGAGTGTGACGTTTCCTGTACACTTGTCTTCTAGCCGTCTCTTTTCACAATGTTATCTAGCACTTCGTATTTTTTAGCGATTTATACTACGTTGCAGGGCTTTCTTTGAAGTTACACAATTATAACACTGTTTTAAGTTTCTACGTCAATACAGCTCGAAGCAGTATTCTCGCCTGCACTCAACAATTTTCGTAAGACGTCCTTCTGCAGTTTTTAGGCCCGGCTGATAGAAAGCCACAAAGATCTCTTAAGTCCGTTGATGCTACAACGCTATCTAGCTGAGGTGTTTGCCTGGGCAGCAGCATGCGCCATACGTGTGCTACAGCACTTACGGTGTCTGTCGGTTAAACGAACGCGTGCGTCTTATAGAAAGTGAGAGTTCTCTCCCGAAACGGCTGGGCAAGGAGCAGCCAGTCCCGCCACGTCAATGGGCTGCCTGTGCGGTACATGGGGCTCGCGCCTTGCTGAACCACATCGTTACTACAACATGCGCAACTATAAGACAACAAACTGGGTGGGAATCCCCGCAGCCGAATAGGCAGCCGTCACGGAGGGCAAGGTCTCCAACTCCGATCGAATGCCCCGGACACCTGCGGGAACCCGCGCTGTGCGGGGTTTCCAGCTATTGTGCGGCAACAAGTCAACACACAAGGAACACATTTCGGAACGATTGTCTGAAAACACCCATCATCACTATCAATAAAGTTCATCAAGGTTAAGTCAGAATCTATACATCTTTTTAACATTTAATAATTCCCACTTGTATAAGCAATAGTCGAGCTGCGACGCTCTGTATATATATGCATCTTTTTTTTTAGTTTCAATCTTTCAGATCAAACCTCACTAATATTATTAGAGATATGTTCCCCTAATGGTGCCGGTGTAATAAATTTTTGTGCACGAAGACTACTTTATCTTCAGAACAGTCTTTTTAAATTTGCATGAATATCGATAAAATATACAAACCGAAAAGAGCGCCAATTGGTACACAGTCAGAAAAAGAACTGGAAAAACTTCTATGAACTTGCCTGTAGCCTGAAGTCGTTGCCGCATACAATATCGTAAAATGCAAGCGGTTAACTTCATTACATTTATATTGGAGCAGGTCACAATAGCTGGCGTAATTGTCTCAATTGAAATAAACAAGGGCACAATCAGTGTCATTGCTGCATCGGGTGCTGGCCAATCTTACTAAATTTCGCTAAGAAAAGCCTATAGAAAACATTGCGTCATTGTGTCGTTTTCGGTGTACCCGACAACTAGACTTTGTTAATAATCATATTATTAAAACGATTCAATAGAATAGAATGGTGCTATCGAAGAGAAATCCTGCTACCAACTATTTTTAGCAATATAAGGGAATCGCTAACGTTACTTTTGCGACAGACTCTACGTAGTGACAGGGAGTATTGAAGGCAACGCGTATCGAGGCAAACCGAAGCCCAGATTGAGTCACTATAACGTATACTGTATACGTATGTTTGTGCACGCAGCGCGCACAGGAGTCACATAGACCATTCCGCTATTAAGCTACTGCGAACCAGGATCTTCCAAGAAGACTTGCCCCGTCGGATTTTGCTACCAGCGCTACGACGATGTTGCGTAATTTACTACAGCGATAGCAGCTACCGTTACTTCGTGCATGATGGCTTGATTGTCTCCTAACGAAGGGACGACTGGCAACCCTTCAATTGGGTGTTCGTCAAAAATCCAAAGGGTTGAGCCCCGGTTCACTGTAGCCGTTTGCCGTATAATTACGCTTGAATCGGCGACGGCGGGCTTTGCGAGGATGCGATTCAGTTGCACTGATAGACGCTTGAGACATGGACGGATCCACAAAATTCGTCAGCCGCCTATGTCAGTTCAAATATATTACTGTCAAAAAGCCAGCTATGCACGCGTCACATGTATAGCTGCTTTCAATTTATTGCTATGCAATGCGATACCTATGGTAGCCTTGCATTACTTTGTTATTGCTTGCTTTTGATGATATTGCACTGTCTCTTTAAACACTGAACTTTGTTTATATGACCTCTCCCATTTGCAAATTATTTGGAAGTTAGAAACGAAATTGAAGCTGAACTGTCCCTTAAAGAGCGTGGTCAAGCCACAAGCGTAAAGACGGGGGTTTGCTGTACAGAATGAGATATGTGTATTTTTAAAGCTTTACACTGGCAAAAAGTT